AAGTCACTCTCAAAAGCTAAATTTCACTGAACTTTCATAGAGGAAGCAAAGTTTGAAATGTTCTTATAAACATTTTCTTTCAATGGCGAATTCCTTAACCAAGATGGGAAATTCACATGACTCTATTAGATATGGCCAAAAATAAATAAATAAATAAAAGACAAAGAAAGAAAGAAAGAAAGAAAAGCTTTGAAAATAGAAAAAAAACTGCACAAAGTAAAACATTCACTCAACTCATATAGATGGAGAAAAAAAAGAAAAGAATGACCAACAATCTAAAAAGACTTAGTAGTAATCTCTTTTTAGTGATGTAGTAAAATAAAAATTTTCGAATTTAGGAAATAAAGATAATGTTGGAGAAATGTGCAAGTAAATATGTCAATTTTATACTTTTTTTTTTCTATTTAAAGATGGTAATTTTGTCATTTTTAAAATAATGATGCCAACTTTCAAATTTTTTTTATTTAAGAATGTTAATTTTTAACTTTTTTAATTTTTTTAACCTTATATTATCCTTCAATTTTAAATATGTATCATATTATAAAAAAAGTATATCTTTATATTTATCTTTTTAAAGAATAGTATATGTAAAAATATAAATTGTTTCTAAATACTTAATCTCAAGATAAAATAAAAAAACATTTATTATTCTAAAATAGGGAATAATAAGAAAAAAAACATCCCTTCCATTACTTTCCCTTTATTTTTTTTCAAACCAGACATATCTTAATTAAAAGCATAAAAAAATAATTCCATTACCATCTAGAAGTTGTTCTTCCATCCAATAATTTTCCTAACAAGTTGTATTAGTCAAGGTCTTCCCCGTCCATAACTATCATGAAAGTACAAATTCTAACAAGTTGTTATTTCATCCAATAATTTTCCTAACAAGTTGTAAGTCAAGGTCTTCCCATTCACAACAAATACGAAAGTGCAAATGCTATTACGTTGTTGTATCATCGAATAATTTTCCTAACAAAGTTGTAATTCAAGGTCTTCCCCATCCACAACTATCACGAAAGTGCAAATGTTAAAAAGTTTTATTATATCTAATAATTTTCCTAACAAGTTGTAAGTCAAGCTCTTCCCAAACCATAAGGACCATAACAAATACAAAAGCGCAAATGCTAACACACTGTTATTCCATCCAATAATTTTCCTAACAAAGTTGTAGGTCAAGGTTTTCCTGTGCATAAACTCATGGATTGAGAAAAAATGGAAAAATTGATCAACAACTTACAAAATTTAATGGTAATCTTTTTCTAGTGGTTTAGTAAAATAAAAATCTTCAGATTTAGGAAATAAACCAATTATAATTCTTAGAATTAAATTAGACAACCAATGACCTCTTCTTCTTTTTTTCCCTTGATGGAAGATGACCAATGACTTTAATTCAATTTTATAGCCCGGTTAGCTTAGTTAAAAATTTTCATTTTCAGTTTCTACAATTAATTTTTTCTTGGATCTTTGGTTCCACAATTAATTTTTTTAAATCTTCTATGATTGCCATGATCTTAACAATAATTAATGTTTCGTATTTATAAAAAGTTATCAGAAATGGCTCTAATTAAATGACTTCCAAAGATGAGTTGAACTTTAAAAAAAAAAAAAACTGTTGAAATGAGTTTTAGTATGAAAATCATTTTCTCAAACTCATGTATAGGATGACCGTATTTTAGTGAGAAATGATTAATAGACAATTTTTATATACATTTTTTTTTCATTTAATCTTAAATGTCATTTTATGATTGATTTTTTTTATTTTACCGAGACCCATAACATTGTATACATTTACTTAATTATTCAATGATATAAAGAAGTTATAAATAAAAATTGTAAAAAAAAATATTATCTATATATTATTACTCCATTTTAATTACAAGAATAATACATATGAAGATGCATTCGAAAAGAAAGACCTTTGGAGTCTATTGTTGTCATTCTCAAAACATAATTTGGGTAGAATGATATGATCCTACTTCATTAAGTAGTATGACTATGAACTCGAAGGTATCTCTTTTCTATTATTGCAGAAATTAAAGATGTTCGAAAACCCTAATACATTTTTATTAGAAAAAAGACTCTGGAGATTAGCATTGACTCAAAGGTCTTCATTATTGAAGTCACTCTCAAAAGCTAAATTTCACTGAACTTTCATAGAGG